GAGAGAGAGAGAGAGAGAGAGAGAGAGAGAGAGAGTGTACATGCCCACAGTGGGAGAAGCTGGGTTGAGGTCATCTGGTTAAGAGCTGGAAGTGGCCTGGACTACGGAAAAGATTGTTAGGACAGGGAGAAGAGACTGGAGGCCAGCAGAAAGAGCAGGGACACCTGTAGGAGTCCGTGGATGCAGAGGGTACAGGCATAGGCATGGGTGTGGGAGGGCACCACAGCCCCCACCCTATGCCAGTGAGCCAGGCCTTGGTGCAGAAGGACTTGTGGGAAAGGAGAAGCCGTTTGCACAGATGGTGCTAGAGACCCGCATTCTTTCTGAGTCAGCCAGTCTCCAGGTGGCCTGTCTTTGGATGGGCAGATGTGAGTCGGCTAGGTACGTGCTGCCTCAGGTGACCACAGAACCGCGCATGACACAGCCACCAGGGGGCGCCAAAGGTAACAGGCAGGGTTACAAAGGGAAGGTCTCCATGCTGTCACCAGAGATGGTTCTGGGGAACTCTGGCATCCTGGGACCAGAAGACTTAAGAGACCATCCTTAGAGGTTGCAGGAGACATGCAGGAGAGTCGCAGGCTTAGATGGAGAGCTGCAGAGTCACATCAGAGCGGCTCAGCAAGGCTGGGGCAGGTGCAAGGACACCCGTGGAGGGTGGACAGGCCAGGCCAGTGCCCCCCCGGAGGGGGGAGATTGCACCTGACATTCAGTTCATTCCTCCTGCTGCGACTCCTTTTCCTAAATCCCTCCCCTCATCCCTGCTCCCTAGGTGAGGCCTCATCTTCTCTGCCCACCTTCCTCTTCCACATACACACACCAGAGAGTGCTTCCTCGGTCATTAATCACGTCACTCTCGGTTTGCAGACCAGGAAGGCAGGAGCCGATGCACACTCCTGGGCCAGGGGAAGAGGATTCACATGCACTCCAGTCCCGCTGGCTGTTCTGGAGGGGCAGTGACACTAACCATGACAACAGCAGCCCCTGACACCATAGCTCATGTCATGTCGTCACAGAGGAAAGCCAATGCTTTCTGGGCCACCTCCCCCTCCCCCAGCTGGGCGCTCTGCTAAGCTTTGGCCACACCTTGCTGTACTTAATACTTGGAGCGGGCCTGCGAGGGTCCTCTTCTTCCCTCTTTATAGATGCGGAACCTGGCTCAGCGAGGCTGGAGTTCACAGAGTTGCATAGCAAGAAATGGATTAAAGATTGAAAATCCTCCTCCAGGTTCTAACCATGAGGTCTAAATCCAGAGGCCCTCTTCTCAATCTTTCCAGTCTCGCCTCCTGCTCTTTCCCTGGGGCTCCTTGCGTATTGATGATACCATAATCGACTGACCCCCTCAAGTCCAGTCTTGAAAGGCTGACATCCTTTGTCATGCTTCCTCAATGCTGTTTGCTCTGCTTTTACTGTTCTCTTCTATATGGCAAACTCCTACTCAGCCTTCAAGACCCAGCTCAGATGTCCTTTCTCTTGGAAGTGTTTCTCAGTTCCCTTTTGAGGCCGTTCATCAGTTCTCAGCTTCCAGCTGCATAGAGCTCTCTGCTGGCCTCTGTGAACCTAACCATGCAGCATTGCCTTTTTTGTTATTTATACACTGTGATCACAACACACTGTGAACTCTGAGAGCAGGGACATTGATTGCCTAACTCACTTCTGGGTCCCCTCCCCAGCAGAAAATGTGGCAGTCAGTGCTCAGTAGTGAGCTAGCAGGAGCCTGCAGGTTCTGGGTGAGATGCCTCCTGTGTTGGGGGCGGTAGTGAGAAGACACCAGAGCTTTGCATAAACTCGAGGTTTTAGGTTTAAACATCCTTGCAGCTAAAAGGACCAGCATGAATGCTAGAGACACTTCGGAGGCTGCAGAAGTAGAGGAGGCATGCATGCAAGAAAGAGGTGACAGCCAGAACAGCCTGTCCCCGGCCAGGGAGGGGCCATCGTGCTGCCCCAGCAAGGATCTGTGTTATGACAACGCATGGTCCACAGCCATGGGTCGTGGGCCTGTGACTTCTGCATCGGTCATCTTTGGTACCAGGGTCAGTGTGGTGTCCTGACTGGTGTGAATGTGCTTCTCAAATGGCAAGCGCCAAACAGATTTGCTCTGCCGGGCAGAGGATTCAGGTTACGAAGGCTCCTGCCCCGCACGCGTGTGTGTATGTGCGCAGGGTTCCATGGACACATGTGGAGTGTGAGACTCAGGTCCCCAAAGCAGACAAGAGCCTTGCAGATAGACCACTGTGAGTCCCTTTCACTCTGGCCTGGGGTTCCAGGCAGGAAACTGCAGCAGAATGGGACACCTGTCGAGGCGGGGAGCAGGAGGGGGGCCACCAGTGAACCTGGCTTACCTGGTGCAGGGCTGTGAGTCCATCCTCATTGCACAAATCAGGGCTGACCTTGTTCTTCAGGAAGTAGCGCACTGTAACAGAAGGGCACAGGGGTGAGACACATGTGGGCAAGGCCCTGGCACGAGTGTTCTTGCTTAGTCTCGACAACTGGTTTCTGAGGGTTTTTGTTTGTTTTTGTGCAGAATGGGGGATTGAACTCAGAACCTCTGAGGTTAGTAAAGACAAATTCTCCATTTTACAGATGAAGAGACTGAGGCACACAGGTCTTTGGACCAGAATTTCCAAGAAGCAGATACCACTGCCTGCTGTCCCATGGGGAAGACTAATAAGTTCCTGTGCCAGATTACACTACTCAGGGATTACACTGGCTGTCTGGAAAGAACACTTTCTAGTCCTTCAAATTTACCCCCTTGAGTCCAATAACCCCATTCTTAATGGCTGTGCAATGTACTCAAGCCAGTTCCCTCTCTGTGCCAGTTCTCTCATCTGCCACATGAGGCTGATGTTCAATCCTATCTAACAAAGGCTCCTAAGGCATAACTGATGTAAGCCAAGTCAGACTCAGCAAGCCAGGCACCAGCTTCCCAGGAGTCTCCGGCTATGACAGCTGTGACTATCTTTGTAACACTGCAGGTCTCTGCAGATGGTGGCTAACTCTTGAGGTCAAATGTCCCTTCCTTGGCCCTACTTAATATTGGGAGGTGGAGGGAGGGAGGGAGGGAGAGAGAGAGAGAGAGGAAGAGGAGGAGGAGGAAGAAGAAGAAGAGGAAGAGGAGGAGGGAGGAGGAGGAGAAGGAGCAGGAGGAGGAAGAAGAGGAGGAGAAGCAGCAGGTGGAAGAAGAGAAAAGAAGAGGAGGACGAGAAAGACAAGGAGGAGGAGGAGGAGGAAGAAGAGGAGGAGGAGGAGAACAAGGAGGAAGAGAAGAAGGAAGATGGAGGAGGAGGAAGTGGCATAGGAGGAAGGAAAGGGAAGGATGGAGGGAATAAGGAAGGGAGGAAGAGATGTTAGTTCAGGGATTAGGTGGGTAGGGACCTGGGGATGAGAAAAGCCAGTGAGCTCCAATGACACCTTTTTGTGTAGGATAAACCCTCTCCCCGACCACTGTGACCTTCCCCCCTCTGGTCCCCACTCAGGCCCTAGTTCTCTCCTGAACCCCAGTGCAGCCCCACAGGCCTCTCCCCATCCTTGGCAAGAGTCCTGTCCTTGCTCTGGCCCCGAGCTGCCCAAAGGCCACCTCCAGCCAGCCTCTATCTGTGCTCTCCCCAGAGAGCATGCATGGGGCCCCAGCTACTCTCCCAGTCCTGCAGGGCCTGACCAGGCTCCTGCCTGGATTTGGAGTCCCATGGGTGGACTGGGCAGGTCACTGGCAAGTGCCAAAGGGGTGAACAGAGGCCAGCAGATGAATTTGGATCCACAGGCTAGCTTGTGTGGGGGTGACGCCCTCAGTCACAATGCTGACAGAGCAGGGCTGAAGGCCTGAGCCCTGCAATGAACAGCAGGTGGCTCTGGGCCCCTCTCAGAACCTGTTAGCCTTCATTCAGCCCTACCAACCTGAGTCCCCCCAAAACAGGAGCCAAATCCACATCCCCAGATGCCTATGGTGGACACTGTTTCCACACCATGGCTTATGCAGTGACCAGGAATTTCCTCATCCACGTACCTCTATGGTAAGGAAGCCACTAGGAGGGAAGGGTAGGGACAAGGCCACCCACTCTGGTGGACAAAAGTCAGCCAGCCAGCAGCTCCACAGTACAGGGGAAAGACACTGATGAGGGGCGGGGGGTGGGAGTCCACAGGGTTCCGGGAGCTGTGGGGCTAGGGGATAGCTCCGCAGCTCCAACACCATGAGCTCAGCTTCCGGGCCCAGCCCCATCTGGGCTGCTCCCAGCCAGTGTGCTGCCGCCAGCTGACTTGCCCAAGATGCATTGTTGCTGGTGGTAAGGAGAGATAGGACTTGATCATCTAGTGTGAGACACAGACCCTTTGGAAGTTCTGCACTCTGCACTAGGAGCCATAAGTTGCATCTGGCTATGATGGCTAATAAACACTCAAAATTCAGTCTCTCAGTCATGCTGTGCTCAATACAGCCACCATATTGGAAAGCACAGCAATGGAACATTTCCATCCCCCTCAAAAGTTCTGCTGCTCAGTGTTGCCATGGGGCATTAAAATGGAAATTAGCCCACCACAAACTGCTAATGCCCCTTGTTGGCTCCCCACTGCTTGAGGACTAATGCCCCAAACCCTCATCAGGGCAATCCAGGTCTTGCATGATGTGACACCTGCATGCAGTTCACCATAGTATGGGGAGAGTGGCATCCTACCAAGCTCCATAAGATCAGCACCTCCTGGACCTGGGTGACACACGACTTATGCAACCATGCACAGTGAGCCTGTCTGCCTGCTCTCCAGCCTCACTTCCTAGATTGCAAATATGTTGTGCGAGTCTTCTTTTGGTCACTGTCACCACACCTCCTGTGATCTCTAGGTTTCTTGGACCGCTGACTTCTGTTGCCTAGAACACTCTATCAGCTACCCATCTGTGCATTCCACCATCACCCACCATCCATCCATCCATCCATCCATCTACTCATCCACCATCATTTATATACCCATCTATGTACCCATCTCTAACATACATGCATGCATATACATATACACATATGCACACACATACCTGCCTCAGTCCTTATCTTTAGTTTCAGCTCAGAACTGACACTAAATGTCCCCATACCTTCTATGCATATTGTCTATAGCATTATCACAATTATAATTACACAGCTATGTGGATGATTATGAGCTTTGGGTCTGTCTGTGCACTGACCACTAAGCCACAAGAAGTTAGGGTCACAATCTGGTACTGATGCCTATCCCTAGTGTGCCTAATTGATGGCCTGTCTCCTCTTCTGGTAGTTATGGCTGTGGCCCTGAAAGCCTGGCACACACACAGTCATTCCTCAAGAACTTTTCCAGAACTATGGCCCAATTGGGAATCCCCTGTCTTAATTCAAAGACTCCTATCCATTTCTGAGCAACACAGACCACCCCTCTGGTGCCGACTCCACAAGACTCCATCAGATAGATACAGCTTTGGCTACAGGTCCATCATACAGAACGTGGGTGACCTGGTGGCTGGTTCTAGGTACAGAGCTAGGTTAGGAGAGTATGCCCAAACCATCAACCACCAGACCCAGCCTGTCCACCGGCCAGGGGTAGCCTGAGCCAACAGATGGCCTTTGGGGGAGCAAACATAGCCATTATGATCCTATCCAGAAAGCTCTGCTCCCATGAAGTGAGGGTACCCTGGGTGGGTGGTGGAAAGTCTTCCAGTTAAGACTCTTTGAGGCAAAAAATAGATATCAGCTGCCAAAAGCAGTGTTTGTGCACAGCAATTATTGGGGTGATCTCTGCTACACGAAGTCCAAGCCATGTAATTACTCCGATGTCGGGCAGTTATTTTCAGCACAAGAAGTGGGACAAATCACCCCCTTTTCCAAGAAGCCCTTAATATTCCTAAGCCAAGGCCACCTCAACAGTTACACTTCCCAGCTCCAGCTGGGAGGCCAGAGGCTGGCTGTAGGCCCAGCTCGCTGGAGCAAAGTCCCTACCATGCAGCGCATGACCAGGCTTTCCCGCCTCTGGGGTTCATCAAGAAAAAAGGATGCCCCTAGCAACAGTCTTCTTCCTGTGTCTTCCTATGCTCCAGGTCAGTGCACGAGGGGAGACGGAGAGTCTGGAAGGTACAGTTCAAGGCACACACGGCCAAATGGGGGAGCTGGAATGTGGGACCACAGTTTCCTAATTTGCAAGCCTGAGATGCTGCCCAGTGGACTGCGCTCACCAGCACTTGAGACTAGGGAAGGGAACTAGCATTTAGGCAGCCCTGCTAGGGGTCCAGATCTGAGTTGAGCCCTAGCATGGAGAGGACAGACAGGGAAAAGTGCACGGCCGTGGCCTCTGCTCTGAGACCACCAGGACAACAGAGGCCCTGAGGCCCCAGGCCAAGCCTGGGCCTGCAGAGGGCATGGAGAGGATCCTCGCACAGGACAGAAGAAACCCTGCTGCCTGGCAAGGCGTAGTGGGGACACAGATCTATCAGGTCCAAAATGTCAATGAGCCCCTCTTTACTCTGGCTGAAAACCCTCTCATGGCTCCACACTGATCTCGGAATGGAGCTTAGGATCCTTCCACGGACCTCATTGGGGTTGGCAAACTGGCACATGGGCCAAATCTGCCAGGCAACCTATTTCTGTAAATAAAGTTTTACTGGAACACAGTCACACTCATTCATTTACATATCGCCTACAACTGCTCTCGCCCTACAGCAGCGGGGCTGAGGAGTTCCAACACAGGCTGTATGGCCTGCACAGGCTGGAATATTTAATATCTGGCCCATTTACAGAAAGTTTTACAGAAGCATGATCTTCAGGGTCCTGTATGTTACAATCCCACCTTACGGGGCTATCACCTGGTGCAACTCCAAGGGGCACGGTTCTCATCATAGTCTATGTGAATGGAGTGTCCTGCAATTGTGCAGTGTACGGCCTGATCAACCATGCCAAGGCCTCCTTGTCCTATGTTGTCAGGCTCACCTCTTGCTCTCTGAGCACCCTGAGCAATGAAGGAAGCTGCCTGAGGTCTAAGGGTTGGCCAGGGCACAGGGAGGACAAAGAAAGACAAGTGGGACATGCTCTCCTCTCCTGGCAGAAACACTCACCACTTTTCCTGGTTGCCCCTTCCTCAATCTGCTCCTGTCCCCAAAGCTCCAGCTCCCAAGCATGGCTGTCAGCTCATCAGAGGGGCCCATTTAGTCTCACTTCTTATATGTTTAGCTGTAGTGTTAGGCAAGTTACTCCTCCTCTCTGCCCTGTGTCCTCATCTGTAGAGTGGGGGAGGGGGTGTCACCAATCATGTCTCCCTAATGTCCAAGAGCTGCCATCATCATTAATCAAGAAACTAAAAATAAAAAACAATCACTAAGCTCTGCCTGGCCCACCCTGGCCTTGGTACTGGACACAGGGCTACCACAACTGCTACCACCCTGCAGCTCCCAAGAGCTTTCCAGCTGGC